CCGTACTTGACAGCTCTGCGCACAGGCAGGCCGGCCGACCTGCCCAGAGAGACTCCTTCACCCTCCGCGCACCGAAGATGGCTCCGTTTTCGTAGCTCCGAGAGCCGCTCGGACATTGGAAAACTAACGAAAGACGAACTTCTCACGGCAAAGAGCATGCCAGCAACGAGCCCGAATACCTGCGTAGCAAGAAGAATCCGCGGCAGCCCAAGTACACCCTTCCTTCTGACAGTGTGTAGACGGCGAGGCACATGCGCCGACTTGAGTTTGTCCATCTGGGCGCAGTCGAGCGGTGTGGAGCCCATTGCTAGAACCAAGAACACAACCCTACCACGGAGCCAAATCAACGCTTGAGCCAACTAGAATTCCACCCATATCTTAAGAATGATGTATACACATGCGGAAACATTTGAATACATAGTCTGCACGGTCGTTCATTCTAAAGGCGGAATCACAACATCCCAGCCAAACCGGTATTACCCCACTCCCATCCCCTACCTCTCATGCACAAAAAGGACGATGTGATGCACATGCGTTCATCTAAAACTTGTTTATTATGTACACATCTCTATCTATTGAGATCGTATAAAAAAAACACGGGCACGCAAAGGCGTCACAGGGGGCGCATGTGCTCGCCGCCGCGCGCGCATGTCAAAATCCTTCATGACACATCGGCTCTCTTACACGCTCAAGACATGTCTGTTCAATACTTCCAGATGGGACGCACAGAGGCAGGCTAGTACTACACGTCCTGCATGGAGGCGCGCATCCAACCCGAACATATCGTATACCCATCTTGTAGTATATCGTTTCCCGAGCCGTGAGGCCCGAAAGCTCCCGCCACGACGCATTTTCTATAATATTTCTTCTCGGTGCGCGCGTCGCCCCTGGGGGGGGGCGACGCACACATAGTACGGGGTGACGCCAATCACAGATCAGTGGTTCTTCCACAGGACCTGCCAGAAAAATGCACACGCGCAATCGCGGAACTCATAGCACACCCATCGGTGTTCAGCCATTCTGTCAAGTAAGGCCACGCGGGCCACCCGCGAGCGCCGATCGAAAACGTTCTGACGTCACCAAGCGCGCACCAACTCTGTCCAGCAGTACCATGCGGGCCACGCGCGCGCGTCATCATCATTGCCATCATTCTTATGATCATCATCATCATCATCATCATCATCATCATCATCATCAGCATCAGCATCAGCATCATCATCATCAACATCAACATCATGATCATCATCATCATCATCAGCATCATCATCATCATCATCATCATCATCATCATCAGCATCATCATCAGCAGCAGCATCATCCTCCTCATCATCATCAGCACCATCCTCCTCCTCATCATCATCAGCATCATCAGCATCCCCATGATCATCGTCATCATCATCATCATCATCATCAGCATCATCACTATCATCATCACCATCATCATCATCATCATCAGCATCATCATCAGCATCATCCTCAGTATCAGGTTCATCATGAGAACCATCATGATCAGCATAATCATCAGCTTTAGCAGCATCATCTTCACGATCATCATCATCAGCAGCATCAGCAACATCTTCACGATCATCATCAGCATCATCAGCATAATCATCATCAATATCATCATCAATATTATCAGCATTACCCTAATCATCACAATCATCAGCATCATCATCATTATCAGCATCTCCATCCTCATCCTCATCGGTATCAGCGTCACCATCGTTGGGATCGCCGCCGCCGTCATCGTGATTATCGTCGCTCTCGTTGCCCTCGTCGAGTTTCGGCGCGCGGGAGCTTTCCCATCACCATCACCAGAGCCATCGCCGCCATCGCCAGCGTCACCGCTGCCAACCTCAATAGTATCACCGTCAGCTTCATCACCATCACCACCGTCGTCGTCGACATCGCATCGCCCCTATATCCAGAGTCATCGCCACCGGCATCAGCGTCATCACCACTACCATCTCCATAGTCGTTATCGTCGCGGCCGTCACCATCGCCGCCACCATTTCGCGGGCTGCATGACGGACTTGTCTGCGCGGTTGATTGCCTGGCGCCCATACGCCAGTTGAGATCGTGGCCAGATGAGCTTTGCCAACAAGTTGCGGGTGGGATGGTCGGATGGTTGCACCATCTGTGGAGCTAACAAATGCAATTCACACAGGTGAATTGCACCACATATCTTGCGCCACATGGTTTGCATCACATAGCTTGTGCCAGAGTAGCTGATTGTCCATAGCTTGTACTACATTATCGTGCTGTCCAGCTTACACCACATCGCTGACACCATAGAGTTCACACCGCATGGACTGCACCGCATTGCTCACACCGCCTATCTCACATCCCACAGCTAGCACCACATAGCTTGCATCGCATAGCTTGCACCAAATAACTTGCACCACATAGCTTTGACCACATGGTCCTCCTCTCAAATCCCCCGACGTTACCAACATCGGCGCCGTCATTGGCCTTACCGTCGTCGTCACAGTCATCACCGCCACCACCATCGCTACTATCATCATCGTTGCCGCCGTTGCCAGCGTCATCACGATACCGCACCCGCCCGAGCCACCGACCCGCATTGAGGTGCCCGCGCGCCAGCGCGGCCTTTGACATGCGCTGGGACGTTGTCATCGGTAAGCGCCATCGCGGCCGCATCGGTTGTGCCCAACCAGCTGGCCGCTCTGCGCGCGAGCTTGCGCGCGCCAGCTCGGCCGCAGAGATGCCCCAGCCATGGCCACGCAGTCATCGCAATGGCCACCGCATAGGTTTTGTAGACCGCGTTGCGGGTAGGAGTGTGGGATGATTGCGCGAGCAGTGGAGTTTACAACTCATCAGGTGGCAACAACATCCACAGCATTGCTTACACAACAACTCTTACACCATAAATACTACGCTACTGAACTTGCACAAGATAGCCCGCACCACATAGCGTACACCACACAGCTTGCACCACTTATCCCGCAACGCATAGCTCACACAACATGAAGCTTGTCATGCACATTCCACAACGTAACTGGCACCTTCCCCAACATGTAAAGACTCACTGCTTGGGGCCCACGCTGCCGAACAACCCTGTCATTTTCGGACCGCCCAGCCGAACTTTCTGTGGCTTGCGGCCGCCCGAGTGGAGGCAACGCGCGTGGCGAACGACCCTGCTGACACGAGAAGCGTGTGTGCCGAAGTGGCGAGGCGGGGGAGAAGGAAAGGCAGGTGGGAAGATGTGAAAAGGGTCGGGGCAGGAGGGGAGCGAAGAAGGGGAAAAAAGAGAGAGAGAGAGAGAGAGAGATAGGCCTGCTTGGCTGGAGGTGTCGTCGTCGCAAATTTCGTGTCGAGGGCGGAGGATTTGCCGAGCGGTAACATCCACGAGGAGGAGTAAGAGAACAATGAGGATGCTCTTTAAAAAAAGGAGGCGGGGCTCGCCATCGCTCGGACGTCCATTCCCCGTGCATGTTTCGATTTCGCGCGTGTATCTGATCGGCGATCCAAGATGCTGCTCGATGGTCCTCGCGGGGGGGGGGGGGGAGAAATGCACACGTCCGAGCGATGCCAAGGGGGGATAATACACCTCAATAGATAGCCAAATTTCCCAAGGAGGTGCCACGCTCCGCTCCACCCGTGTTAAGTCTGTGGATAGCATGTACGGCGAATGTGCGCGGCACTAAGACGAGAGCTCGATTTTAAATTATCCAGGCGAAGGACCCAACCATAAGCAATTGATTGTAACGCGTTGCGGGTGCCGCTTTCGGTGGAGCTCCCTATGGGGCCACGAAACGCTGCCCTGAGTGTGGGAAACGCATGCGAACTGCGCCACGGGGGCCTTCGGTGGAGCTCCCTATGGGGCCACGAAACGCTGCCCTGGGCGGGGGAACTGCATGTAACTACGCCACTGGGGCCTCCGGTGGAGCTCCCAATGGGCGACGAAACGCTGCCCTGGGTGGGGGAACCGCATGCGAACTGCGCCACTGGGGCCTTCGGTGGAACTCCCTGTGGGGCCACGAAACGCTGCCCTGGGTGGGGGAACCGCATGCGAACTGCGCCACTGGGGCCTTCGGTGGAGCTCCCTATGGGGCAACGAAGCGCTGCCCTGGGTGGGGGAAACGCATGCGAACTGCGCCACGGGGGCCTTCGGTGGAGCTCCCTATGGGGCCACGAAACGCTGCCCTGGGTGGGGGGACCGCATGCGAGAGCAGCCACTGGGGCCTTCGGTGGAGCTCCTTATGGGGCAACGAAACGCTGCCCTGGGTGGGGGAACCGCATGCGAGAGCAGTCACTGGGGCCTTCGGTGGAGCTCCCTATGGGGCCACGAAACGTTGCCCTGGGTGGGGGAACCGCATGCGAGAGCAGCCGCTGGGGCCTTCGGTGGAGCTCCCTATGGGGCCACGAAGCGCTGCCCTGGGTGGGGGAACCGCATGCGAGAGCAACCACTGGGGCCTTCGGTGGAGCTCCCTATGGGGCTACGAAACGTGTGAGGGGTGTGCCAAGAGCAGAGGCAAGGAAGGGAAGGAGGGAGGAGGGAAGGGGCAGCGGGAGGAGGAGACGCGGGGCACCGTCTCTTCAAAACGAGGACCCAACACCACAGGATGGTTGGGAAAAAGGACTGCCATCTTTTAAGAACCAACTGCTCTCAGTTCCCGTAGATATTGCACATGCTGAAGGGGGACATGCGCGGCGCTCGAGGCAGAGGCAGCCTTTAGCAGCCGCCTTCAATCCATGGAGCCGTTGCAAGCTTTGAGAAAGAATGCGCGCGCGCAACCCTGGAGCCAGAGCCTCGCATTGAAGAGAAACAGCTCTCCATCCGAGCATGTGACTGGCGGGATGCCCCGCCCGCCCTGACGACACGCCTGCTGGCGTGACGAGGGGAACTGCTTCGAAAGAAGAGGGGTAGGGGACGACGGCGACGACGGCGACGACGGCGACGACCACCACCACCAACACCACCACGATGACGATGAGGACGACGAACACGACGGATGAGCAGCAGGAGAAGCTCGATCCTTCTCGAAGATGGACGCGCGCATCGCGGCTCGGTCCTCCGGGGAGTACGTCACCGAGCTCCCGCTCTCCTCGGGGGAGGGGCCGCGACCGCGAGAGACGGGGGGGCCCAGCTGCTTGCCCCAGTCAGTTGTGGGGCCCACGCGGAGCGCGTCCCGTCTGAGGCCCTTTTCGCCCACCGCCTCCTGGCAAACGCGACGCGTCCCGCCTGAGGGAGCGGCAGCTGTCTGAGGCCGTGTGCGCGCCAGCTCCGTTGATCGCGCAGCCTCCACCAAATGATGGGGCACGTGGAGTTCCCGAGGGGGAGAGCGATTCTGGCGGAGATGATCTCGACCGTGCTGCACGCGTGCTGCTGCAGTGCGGAGGCTGAGCGCTGCAAGCGCTCTCGGCTCTTGCTGCCCCAGCTCACCGTCCCGTCCCTCTGTTCGTGCCACGGTTTCATCCTGACAGCATACCGGCGAGGGGCAAGGGGGAAGGGGAGGGGGGCGCTGCCTCGCTCACCCCGTCTGCGTGGGAGGAGGGCGAGGCGGAACGTGGAGCTGCAGAGGGTCCAACGAACCCCCTTGTGCATCCGCCGCGTGCGCGCGGGACTGCATGACCGACGCCAGCGCCGCTCGCAGAGGTGAGGGCGGGGAACGCGAGGGCTTCGCTTCACCCCCGCCCCCCCGGAGCCCCGAATCTGGCCAAAGTCGGCGCGTTCCCCAAGGCGCCGACAACAGCGTCCCCGCTTTGGGTGGAGTTCGTCCGATGCTTCGGCCAGCGCCCACACACCTCTCTTGCCTAATCAATCGTCCCTCGTCCCTCGTCCCTCGTCCCTCCTCCTCGTGGTGGTCGATGACCTCCTCCTCCTCCTCCTCCTCCTCCTCCTCCTCCTCCTCCTCCTCCTCTGGTGGTCGATGGCCTCACTGGTCCATCGTCCTAATCCTTCGCCTCCTAGTCATCCGCTCATCCTCCTCAATCTAGACATCCATCTCCACCTCCACCTCCTCCTACTCCTCCTCTGTCTCCTCCTCCTCCTCCTCCTCCTCCTCCTCCTCCTCCTCCTCTCCTCCTCCTCCTCCTCCTCCTCCTCCTACGGATCATCATCATCATCATCATCATCATCATCATCATCATCAGCATCATCACCACCATCATCATCACCAACACCACCACCACCATCACCACCGTCATTATCAGCATCGTCATCAGCATCATCATCAGCATCATCATCAGCATCATCGTCATCATCATCAGCCGCAGCAGCATTAGCAGCATCAGCAGCATCAGCAGCATCAGCATCATCATCAAATCATCGTCATCAGCAGCATAATCACCATCATCAGCATGAGCATCATCAGCAGCATAATGGTAGACATCATCATCAGCATCAGCATCATCAGCATCAGCATCAGCATCAGCATCAGCAGCATCATCATCAACATCATCAGCATGATCAGCAGCAGCATCATTATCAGCCGCAGCGTCGTCATCAGCACCATCATCATCACCGTCATCATAAGCATAGTCACCATCATCAGCATAAGCAGCATCAGCATCAACACCAGCACCAGCATCGTAAGCATCATCCTCATCATTGCCATCGTACATATCAACATCATCAGCAGCGCCATCATCAACATCATGAGTATCATCATCGTCATCATCATCACTACCATCAGCATCATCATCATCATCATCATCGTCATCATCAGTAGCATCCTCACCATCATCACCATAATCATCGTCATCATCGCTTTGGTCATCATCACCATCATCAACTCCATCATCATCACCTCCATCATCAGCATAATCATCATCGTCATCATCAGCATCATCATCATCAGTAGCATGATCACCATCATCACCATCATCATCGTCGTCAGCATCGCTTTGGTAATCATCATCATCAGCTCCATCAGCATGACCTCCAGCATCAGTATCATCACCATCGTCACCATCATGATCATCATCAGCATCTTCATCGTCAGCATCATCATCATCGCCATCATCATCATCATCATCATCATCATCATCATCATCATCATCATCATCATCATCATCATCATCATCATCATCATCTGTATGAGCATCATCATCATCATCGGCAGCATCCTCATCAGCATCATCAGCATCAGCATCGTCATCGTCATCATCGCTCACATGCCTCTCCTCCTCCTCCTCCTCCTCCTCATGATGCTCCTCTTCCTCTCTTCCTGCTCCTCGTGTTCTGCTTTGTTCCGCCCTTCTTCAGCCTTCCTCGTCCTCCGTCGTTCTCGTCCCTCTTCCACCATCCTCTTCTGCTCCTCCTCTCCCTTCTCATCCTCCTCATCCTGCCCATCTTCATCATTCTCCTCATCATCCTCATTCCTCATCATGCTCCTCCTCTTTCCTTGTCCTCCTCTTTCTTCTCCTCCTCCTCCGTTTCTTCCTCGCCCTCCTCCTCCTCCTCCACTCATCTTCATCTAGCTAATCTTCATCTAGCTAATCCTCCTTGTTATCCTTCATCTTGCCATCCCTCTACTCTGCTTCCTCCTCCTCATCCTCCTTCAGAAATCGAATCTCGCAGACGAGTGCTAGCCCTTGTGCCTGGGGGACCTCTCGCCTGAGGAGGTTGCTTTTGTGACGGGAGGGTTGCTTGCGGCATCGGCGGCGCGGCTGCCTGCTCGGTCTACTCTGGTCCTCGTCCTCCTCCTCCTCCTCCTCCTCTTCCTCCTCCTCCTCCTCTTCCTCCTCCTCCTCCTCTTCCTCCTCTTCCTCCTCTTCCTCCTCCTCCTCCTTTCCTTTTCTTGTGAATAACTTCTCCCTGTCGCACCCCGAGGCCACTTTTTGGAGCGGGCCGGGCGTTTCGTCTGAGACTTCCTCACCACGTATGCCCCTGAAGCTGAAACATTGACAACCGCTTCACAGATGGAGGGCGGGTGGTTTTCAGAATGTGGCTCTCGCCTCAGCGCCGCGAACCTGAGCTTTAAAAATGCGCAAGAGTTTCACATATTGAAGGCGGGTGGTTTTCAGAATGTGGCTCTCGCCTCAGCGCCTCGCATATTCGTTTTTGTTAAAATTGCTAGAGGTTCCCGGATGGAGGCCGGCTGGTTTTCAGCATGTGGATCTCGCCTTAGCGCCGCAAGCATTCTTGGTACAAAAGTGTTGGAACTTCACGGATTGATGGTGGGGCATTTTCAACATGTGGCTCTCGCCTTAGCGCTGCGCACATTCGTTTTAAACTGTGGAAGAGTTTCACGGATTGAAGGCGGGTCGTTTTCAAAATGTGGCTCTCGCCTTAGGGCCGCGCCCACTCGTTCTAACACAGTGCAACGGTTTCACGGATTGAGGGCGGTTCCGTTTCAAAATGTGGCTCTCGCCTTGGCGCTGTGCACATTGGTTTTCCACAGTTCCAAGAATTTAACGGATTCCAGCCATCAACGTGCCAGAAATATTGTTCAAGAAGGATTCAGGATTATGAGGGGTGCAACAGTTACGTTGTCTCGCGATTGAAAGCCCAAGAGTGGCTTTTTGGAACGATTCAGGACCGTCCGGACGCAACAGTCAAGTTGCTCCGTGGCGTTGGAATCCCGAATACAATGTGTTGGTATACTTCAGGGTCTTCAAACGGTTGTCTTCCAACGAGGCAGTTCCCTTAGTGAAAAGAACCGTTGTAGGGGCCTATGAAGAGGGAGCTTGGCGGGAAAGTTTATTCAAACATCGTTGGTGACTCTTGGGTTTACACTGGTCCTCTTCCTCCTCCTCCTCCTCCTCCTCCTCCTCCTCCTCCTCCTCCTCCTCCGCATCATCACCATCCTCTCCTCATCCTCCTGCCATCCCTGGAGATGTCCAAAGCCCCCTGAACATCCCCTCCCTCCCTGTTGTCCCCTCGTTCTCCTCCCTGCCAGGCCCGATTTCCCAGAAAGCGCCTGCTTGCCGTCCACCGAGCTGTCCACTTTGCCGTAGCTGTCCGCCTTGCCGAGGCTGTCCGCCTTGCCGAGGCTGTCCACCGCCATCCCGTTGCTCTTGACGTTCGTATTGAGGCTGCCGTCTGTCTTGCCGTGGCTGTTCGCGTGTCCGTGGCTGTACACGAGCCCGCGGCTGCTTGCTTTGCTGTGGCTGTTCGCGTGGCCCTTGTCAACCTTGGCCTGGCGGCGATACTCGGGAGCGCGTCAAGGCACACAAGGGCTTGCCAAACGGGAAATGAAAAAGGCTTATTGAACATTAAGGGCAACGCGGGCAACGTAAATCTTGGTATTGAAAATCACTCCAGACATCAGGTTGTTCAACTGACGCGTACAAGCAGCAAGCCGCCCATGCAAACAACAAATCCTCGTGAGAACGACACAGTAGTATATGTAGTAAGGAAGTGCTGCCGAACAAATCTAAGGACGCAAGGGTGCCCTTGGTAAGGTGACCCGTCCTTACTATGGATTTTCACTGTACAGCTGCGGAGCGAACCCAACATCACAGCACCCCCCACTGCTACGACACAGGACATGCGAATGTTCGTCACGCATGCAGACATGGAGGCAATGTCATCCCACGGCCTGGTGCACGTCATGACGTCAGCTTGGGCACCGAACACTCACTGTGTAACAAGAGCGACGTTGAATATGAGATGCGGAGCGGATATCGTGAGCTGTTGGATCTTCAGGTCGGCAAAATCTGGGGGGTGATGGCCCCCGCTGAAGACGGCACTGGCTGTGTGTGGCGTACTCCCGTTGTTAAACACTTTCTCTGGCCAATAATCGCAAACTTTGGGCCGGAGACACCTCATCAATTTCCTTACCTAGCGTCGACAACCCGTTGCGATCGGAGAATAGACAAAGCCAAGTGGGGACGGGGAGGATATCGGAGCGAGGGGCTTCCGCTCACGCGAATGCAATTCGAGTCGTGCGCGCGTTGGCTCTTTCGGGGCAGGCAAACGTCGTCGCGTGCATTTTTTTAACATTGCTTTTGTTATTATGTCATCATGGTCCGATGATTGTTTTTATTAGTACGATTTCGATTAATGATGGATAAAACAAAAAACGAATACTAAAATTCTTATTGATCGGAGGTTGGGGGGTGAGGTCGAAGTGGAATGGAGAGCCCCCCACCAGGAAATCGGTTTCGGTTTCGTGTTCGTGTCGTGCGCGCGGGCGAGGCGAAGCTGCGTGCGCGGGCGAAAGAAATTCATTCTGCTGTCGCTAGTGGCTCGCCAACATAAATGTTTCCCCCGCCGGCGCGTGTCAAGCGGTGGCCCGCATTGTCCCGTCGGTTGCCCGCCGTTGTCCTGTCTGTCGCTAGTGGTTCGCCAACATAAATGTTTCCCCCGCCGGCGCGTGTCAAGCGGTGGCCCGCATTGTCCCGTCGGTTGCCCGCCGTTGTCCTGTCTGTCGCTAGTGGTTCGCCAACATAAATGTTTCCCCCGCCGGCGCGTGTCAAGCGGTGGCCCGCATTGTCCCGTCGGTTGCCCGCCGTTGTCCTGTCTGTCGCTAGTGGTTCGCCAACATAAATGTTTCCCCCGCCGGCGCGTGTCAAGCGGTGGCCCGCATTGTCCCGTCGGTTGCCCGCCGTTGTCCTGTCTGTCGCTAGTGGTTCACCAATATAAATGTTTCCCCCGCCGGCGCGTGTCAAGCGGTGGCCCTCATTGTCCCGTCGGTTGCCCGCCGTTGTCCTGTCTGTCGCTAGTGGTTCGCCAACAAAAAAAGTGTCCCCCGCCGGCGCGTGTCAAGCGGTGGCCCGCATTGTCCCGTCGGTTGCCACCCGTTGTCCTGTCTGCCGCTAGTGGTTCGCCAACAAAAATGATTCCCCCGCCGGCGCGTGTCAAGTGGTATCCCGCATTGTCCCGTCGGTCGCCCGCCGTTGTCCTGTCTGTCGCTAGTGGTTCGCCAATATAAATGTTTCCCCCGCCGGCGAGTGTCAAGCGTTAGCCCGCATTGTCCCGTCGGTCGCCCGCCGTTGTCCTGTCGTGAGATCGATAGTGAGATCGATAGCGAGATCGATCGTGAAATTGATAGTGACACCGAAAGTCAGATCGATAGTGAGACCGAATGTGAGACCGAATGTTGGATCGATCGTGAGATCGATAGTGAGATCGATAGTGAGATCGATCGTGAAATTGATGGTGGCACCGAAAGTGAGATCGATTGTGAGATCGAATGTGAGATCGATAGTGGGATCGAAAGTGAGATCGGTTGTGCGATCGATTGTGAGATCGCTAGTTAGGTCGATTGTGAGATCGATAGTGAGACCGATTATGAAATCGATTGAAAGATCGAGCCCGCATTGTCCCGTCGGTGGCCCGTCGGTGTCCGGTCGTGAGATCGATAGTGAAATCGACTGTGAGACCGATCGTGAGATCGATAGTGAGATCGATAGTGACATCGATAGTGAGATCGATAGTGAGACCGAAAGTGAGATCGCAGGGTGAGTGCCGCGTCGCGCAGCGGCAAGCCGAATGACACAAAACGCCCAAGCGAAAAAACAAAAAAAACAATCCGCCACGTCATCCACACCATCATCGGCCATCAGCACCACATTCACCACAGTTGTCGTCATGAGCCCCCCCCCTCCCACCCACCCCCGCCGTTGTCCTGTCGTGGGATCGATAGTGAGATCGATAGTGAGATCGATCGTGCACTTGATAGTGACACCGAAAGTCAGATCGATAGCGAGACCGAATGTGCGACCGAAAGTTGGATCGATAGTGAGATCAATAGTGAGATCGATAGTGAGATCGATTGTGAAATTGATGGTGGCACCGAAAGTGAGATCGATTGTGAGATCGAATGTGAGATCGATAGTGGGATCGAAAGTGAGATCGGTTGTGAGATCGATTGTGAGATCGCTAGTTAGATCGATTGTGAAATCGATAGTGAGACCGATTATGAAATCGATTGAAAGATCGAGCCCGCATTGTCCCGTCGGTGGCCCGTCGGTGTCCGGTCGTGAGATCGATCGTGAGATCGACTGTGAAACCGATCGTGAGATCGATAGTGAGATCGATAGTGACATCGATAGTGAGACCGATAGTGAGACCGAATGTGAGATCGTGGGGTGAGTGCCGCGTCGCGCAGCGGCAAACCGAATGACACAAAACGCCCAAGCGAAAGAACAAACAACAATCCGCCACGTCATCCACACCACCATCGGCCACCAGCACCAGATTCACCACAGTTGTCGTCATGAGCCACCCCCCTCCCACCCCCCCCCACAACCTCCTTATCACCCGCAGGGTGGTCGTATAGGTATTTAGTTCGTATCATTATTATGCTTCTGCTTCTGCTTCTGCTTCTGCTTCTGCTTCTGCTTCTTCTTCTTCTTCTTCTTCTTTCTGGCCCGGTGGGGGGGGGCGGCGGGGACTCGCCGGGGGAACCCGCGCGGACGTGTGGGGGCCTGGGGGGGGGAGGGCCCGGGGGCCCACCGCGGGGGGCCCGCGGCGTCGCCGATGCCGGTCGCCGCGGGGCCCACGGGCGGGGCTGGTCGTGTGTTCGAGCCGGGCGCTTTCGCCAACTCCGGGCCCTGGGACCCTCACAGATGGACCCGATCCGAACAATACTGCAGAAAGATGGGGTCCGGGGCTCCCGTCGTGATTTCGATGTTGCATTTTTCGCAACGTCGGATCTCAGGGGATGACGTGTTGAAAAAAGAAAATCGACGCCTGCGGCGGGCTTCTTCATCGAGTGTTCCGTTCCACTTTTCCCAGTAGCCAGTCCGTGAGGGCCGCGGCGTCGTGGGGGCGTCGCCGCGGGGCCCACGGGTGGCGCCTTTTTTGGTTGCGCCGAGATGCAGCAACGCGAAAAACATCGAAAGATTGGCACCTGCGGCGGGCTTCTTGACTGAATGCTTCGTTGAACTTGTTTCACTCGTCCGGGGGGGCCCACGCCGGTGTCGGGGCACATTGATGGCGCCAGTCTTGGCTGCGCAGAGATTCATGCGCACAATCCCACCAGCCCTTTGGGCGTGAGTGGTTTAGCGAGCTCTCTCTGTCCTCAACCCCCCTTCTTCCCCTTCGGGGAGGGGTTTACCCCTCCCCCTACCCCCTCCCCCTGGGCCTGGAGAGGGGGGGCCGCGGGTCGTCAGGGGGGTCATTTTCGACTCCTGGGAGGGCTAAAAAACGACACCCCTAACGAGGATTCTGGCCCCGACGGGGGGGGGGAGAAAAAATGCTCTCCTCTTCTTTGAAGCCAAAATCATTGATCTTACTACGGCTTCGGCCCCATTTTGGCCTTCTGAGGGGGCCGCGCTCATGAAAGCTCATAGCAAAACCATTGAGTTTACAAAGGTTTTGGGCTCATTTTGTCCTTCTCAGGGGGCAGCGCTCATTTGCGCTTCTGAGGAGGTCGCAAGAGGCCCCAAGATGGCCCCAAGAGGCCCCCAGGAGGCTCCCAAGAGGCCTCCAAGAGGCCCCAAGAGGCCCCCAAGAGGCCCCAAGAGGCCCCCAAGAGGCCCCCAAGAGGCCCCCAAGAGGCCCCAAGAGGCCCCAAGAGGCCCCCAAGAGGCCCCCAAGAGGCCCCCAAGAGGCCCCCAAGAGGCCCCAAGAGGCTCCAAGAGGCCCCCAAGAGGCCCCACGAGGAGCCCGAACGACTCACACCAGGACGAGGGGCCCGAACGACTCACACCACGAAGAGCCCGAACGACTCACACCACAAGGAGGGGCCCGAACGACTCACACCAGGACGAGGCGCCCGAACGACTCACACCACGAGGAGCCCGAACGGCTCACACCACGACGCGGGCCCCGAACGACTCACACCACGAGGAGCCCGAACGAGTCACACCAGGAGGAGGGGCCCGAACGACTCACACCAGGATGAGGGGCCCGAACAACTCACACCACGAGAAGCCCGAACGACTCACACCAGGACGAAGAGCCCTTTGGGCGTGAGTGGTTTAGCGAGCTCTCTCTGTCCTCAACCCCCCTTCTTCCCCTTCGGGGAGGAGTTTACCCCTCCCCCTACCCCCTCCCCCTGGGCCTGGAGAGGGGGGGCCGCGGGTCGTCAGGGGGGTCATTTTCGACTCCTGGGAGGGCTAAATTATCCCGGCAAAGCAACCTAACAGCGATGTGTAGGAGCACATCTGGAAGCATTCCCCTTAAGATTCAGATAAGAATCCTGTTGTAGAATTCTGCTGTTCTCGCAGTCGTGGTCGCATTCGCGAT